TGGAGTTATGTCAACTGTTCAGAATTCTACTGGAAATTCCTCAAACTCAGGTATCACAGGTATGCCTCAAACTGATTTTTGGCGACCTCCGAAATCTGGCATTCAATCCAACATGCAACCCACTGGGATGGCAAATGCCACTTGCACTGAAAATGCAAACCCTGGCTGGGGTACAATGCAAGCAAATCCTAATACAGGCTGGGGGACTCCAACACCAGGAAGTATGAACATGAACTGGGTACCTGTTCAAGTGCAGCCCACTGGAAATGCTACTTCTAATTGGGTTGTTCCTGCTGGAAATTCTGGAGCTACTGTTCAAGGGCCCGTCTCTGGAAATGTACATCCTGGTTGGGTGGCAACTCCAAGTTGGGGTGCTCCAAATGGCAATAATACAGGAACAGCAGTTCAACTTCAAGGGCCGGTACCTGGATGGGGTCCACCGGCAGGAATAGGAGCACCCATTCAGGGGCCACCAGTGGGAATGGGAGCGACACCACCCGGAAATGGAGCTCTTATTCAGGGGCCAATGCCTGGAGTTGGAGCTCCTTTTCAGGGGCCACCACCACCTGGAGTTGGAGCTCCTCAAGGGCTGCCAACTGGAACAGGAGGTCCTCTTCAAGGGCCACCACAGGGAAATATAAATCAAAGTTGGGGTGCACCAGCTGGAGGCCAGGGTATATGGGGTGGTCAACAAAACCCCAGTGGAGGTCCTTTCTCAGGTGGTTTTAGTGGCGGAAGGCCTTGGAATGGACAGGCGTCTTTCGGCAGAGGGGGGCCTAGACCTTTTAATAGGAGGCAGATAGTATGTCCATACAATGGAAACGGGCGATGCAGGAAAGGGGCATATTGTGATTATCTACATACCTAACTGAAAATTTCCAGTTTGGCCCATAGATGATTTTGTACAGTCATTTCATACTAATTTTCTGACTTTTTTCCATTTTGGTCTTTATACTTTTATCTAAACCTCAGTAAAACGTTGGAACTATTTAACGATGCTGTGTTTTTGAGGGGGTTGACTTTTTTAATTTTCTGCTTGGTAGTGTCAGCTAACAAATTGCCCTTCTATATAATAGTCATAGACATGTTTAGTACATAGTATTGAATTGCACCGAACAGTTAATATACCATAAACAATTTTTCTTTGATAATGTCTGTACATTCCACCTTTACAAATAAGCTTTAAGTACAGTCAGTTTGCAAATCTGAATAAATCCATACTGTTTTTTACTTGGAGTCAGATCGACAGTGTGACTGACGATATGTACAAGGCTGGAACGATTTCACTGTCTTATGGTCGACTGGTGGTTACCATAGCTGCAGCCTGTGTAGAATCTTCAAAGTCTTTACCCAAATTCCTGTAATTGGAAACTGTTTCCTGTCCTGAGAACAGCAAGTTTAAATTCACATCTGCACCCTTTCCTTGGCTCCCTTTTCTCCTAGAGTTCGAAGAATATGTTAAAATAAGGTCGGAGAAAATTTGTTCTGGTCATTAGT